TGTGTGTGTGTGTGTGTGTGTGTGTGTGTGTGTGTGTGTGTGTGTATAGGTAGGGTGGGGGACCACTCCGACTCTCAGCAACAGCGCATGCGAGGAGGGGGCAACTCCGGTGGCACTTCCGGTTCAGGCTGCAGAGACAGGACACTGTTGGAAAGCTCCTTGTTGGGAACTTCCAGAGGCATCTGTTGGATCACAGACAAAGTGACATCAGCAGCCGCCAAACAGAGTGTGACAAGCAACACCATCGACAGATAGATTAAAACAAACAAACAAAAGACTAAAGTAATAAAACAATACGATGGAAAAGAATCAGATTCCTTTAACAATTTTCCTGTGAGTGTATTAGGCAAGTTTTTAAATAGCTCTTCCATCATCTAAGTAAGCGAAACAAGGCAAAAAGCAAACACATGACAAGACAAATGTCAATTCAAATTTAATAGGCCACTAAATGAATGGTGCGTTTACACAAGTCATTCCCACACATGTCCTGCAGCACCGAGCTTTAATGGACACTGAACAGCTGCAAACACAGACAAGTGATCACTCATGTTACAGTTCTCTGAAGTAGAGGTAATATGCAAATGCATATTTGGTGCTTTGTAGCATCTCTGCAGCAGAGTATATGTAGTGTGTTACAAAAAAACAAAACAAAAAAAACTGGCAGACATGCACATGTGTGCAGAGGCTGGATCTGATTTTGTAATTTGGACCCGAGTGGACTCCCACATATGTACATAAGTGGAAAATATCACACCCGCATAAAAATGAGAACACATATATCAAGCGCAGTCAGTCTTCAACGTTCCCGTATCCCAATACAAAGTCTACATGATGCCCAGTTGAATCAATAATGAGAACAGCACAGATAATAAACCGGTGGTTTGGAGTGGACGTCACATGTAATGACTCCTGCACTTTCTACCCAGGCAGCATCCTCTCCTGAACCTCAAAGAATACTTCCAGCAGAGAGATCGCATTTGAAGCAAATCATCTCCTGCTGTGTGCTACAATTGAAAAAGGGCACCTTTGCAAACATTAAGACATGAAGGCATGATTTTATGGACACTATCTGGAGTTCATGTGTGAAAACAGTCGGTTTGGTTCAGATCAAACAAATTTCGGACGTGTTCCATGCACTTTGGTTCCAAGCACACTCCGGTGTAGCCTTTTTGGTGTATTAATGCACAACTGAGAAACCAGATATAATATTAGTATGAATGGAAGAGCTGAAAAACAATAAAATCAGTGTGATGATGTCCACTGTCAAGATAGTGAGTTAATCACTTAGAATCAAAACCATCAAAATATATGTATCATTTTTACACTACTTGACTCAGCTGATAAATTACTTCTATATGATAGAAAATAAATAAGTATTTATTGCTATCAGTCACTAGAATCTGAGCCCCTCTACATGAGTTTGGTTGCGCTATACGATGACATCACCAAAAATGTATAGTAAATGTTTTATGTGTTGATCTACATGACTTCATGTTTACCCGTCTACTTTCATTCATAAAAACTCAAAGTGAACCAAAATGAACCAAACATTGTGTAAAATGTATTTCAGGCGCACTTAACCTCACCTTGCTAAGAATGTCGTCCACAAGCTTCAGGAAGATTTCATCCACATTAAAATTATCCTTCGCACTAGCTTCGCAGAAGCGCATTCCACTTATTCGAGAGGCAAACTATAAAACAAGTGAAACAAAACGAGCTCGGGGTTAGAGTCGGCATGGAAACCCAAACTCAATCCTCAGGAGCACAAATTAAACTGAAGAAAGCTCCAAACACTCTTCAAGTGCACAGTTGATTCACTGGCATATTATTAACTCAGTTTTTAGTATGAAGTACATACCTGTCAAACTATTTGCATTACAGATTTTTTTGTTTGGGTTTTTTGCTGTCAAATAATCTACTGTTTGGCCTGTTTTATCTAATCTTAGATGTTTAGATTATTCAGATTTGTAAAATACTGGTGGCTGCCAGTACAACCCCTCAGCGTCCTGGTAGTTCCACCAATGGTATCAATTTCAAAATCTTATGTCATCTTTTTCTCAAGTTATTGGACTCACAAATTTGTGTGTCCAGCTTGCCTGCCTGGCTGGACAATGGCAGCAACCCCATTAACCTTTTGCGGCTGACGGGTAAAACCTGAAGGTGCGGTGCAGTAATAAGACGGTTAAGGACTTTGCTGTTGAACCCACCCTCTCTCCTTGTTGCCTGGAGATGATGCGATCAGTCTCACAGTCCAGCTTGTTCCCGACCAGCAGAAGCTCTGCTTCCTCTGAGGCGTACTGATGGAAAACAGACCACAGCAGACACAAGTCAGGAAATCACCGGCCTACCGTCTCACAAAAGTCAAATCAGATTACTGCAGTTAAATCTTCATCATATCATATCACAGACAGGAAAATCTACAGTAAAAAGACACATATTCCCACACATGGATTTTCAAATACTTATAGTATTATTCAGCACAAATCATTTGAACTGAGGGGCAACACCAAGGCCTAGTTTTTGATCAGTCCCAGTTGGAATTGGTCCCCTTTATAGAAAAAGGCAGAACTGTAGGATAAATATCATGGAATAAATAGATAAACTAAATTCATGTTTCATTTTATAAGAGAAAAGGGAGGAGTTGTAATAAAAAGAAAGAAAAACATAATACACACTCCCTGACACGCTGGACTTTAGTTTACCTTGTCAATCATTTTCATCCACTTGGGAAGGTCCTCAAAGGTCTCCTGTTTTGTGATATCATACACAAGCACAATTCCCTTGGCTCCTCTGTAGTATGCTGATGTGATGCTGTTGAACCTCTCCTGGCCTGCGGTGTCCCTGAAAGAGATCACACATTATAAAAACTCAATCATGTGAGAACAGATTAACCCATAGTTTTTTGATTGTGTTTTCCATTAATTAAATTTGATTAATAGGTAACTGGTTTTTAAAGACAATACATAAAAGTGTATGAACATGTAATTTCTGTGGTAATTTAGCAGAAATGTTACATCATAAATTAGTGTAAGAATTTGTCATTTATTGAGATAGTAGACATGCTATTGGTTTTAAAACACTGAATCACTGTCTAAAGCTTCACATCGTCATCTATTAAACTAAACAGAAAAACACACCACTGAAGAGTTTTGTTCCAAAATGTCACTTTTAGACTTTGAAAGAAGACGAGATAAAGTCGATATTAGCAATATAACTGTAGCAATATTAGCTATTACGGGTTATTAAATACGCATGCACTTTATAATGTTGCATTTTCGGAAGGTAACTCTTCAGTTTCATATTTAATTTGAAATATGACCACACTCGGCTGATCATCCGAGTCTGGACTGGCAGCATGACAAGCAGTTTGAGCCACACTCACAGTGCATTGTTACTGTACCTCCAGCCAGATAGTCTCTCCCTTTCCCCTGTGAGTCACAGTCAGGCTTATGAGCAGAAGAGCAGACAGAGACAGCAGCACAATGGCAGGGTTAGGTAAGGTTGGGCGCGGCAGTGTTGGAGCTTGATGTGAGCAGTGCAACATGAGAAACATACACACAGTGATACTCCTCGTCTGACAGGTGGAGGACAGGCAGAGGTGTGAAGGGAGGATGTGCTGCGGTGATGGTGGATGGGAGCAAGACAGATATGTATGGAAATAAAAGATAGCGCTCCCACATTTTAACCAAGCATCGTCACACACTTGCATGTAATAAGTCTGTAGCTGAAGCAGCTCTTCAGTTGTTGGACACCAAATGTTTTCAAAATGAAATCAGAGCCTAACTGAGGTCACAAGACGGCAACAGGATAACAGTATCAAATAACATCTTGTCACTAATTGACTGAGATATGAGACAATATGAGACTGATTTAAGATTTCACTGCATACATCTGTGATTTCTGCAAAGAGCACATTACATTTAGCTATTTAGTGAGAGTATTAAGCTGCAACAGCACAGTATGTAATGTTTGTAAAGTCACTGTATGGTTAACGCTAATTACTCAATGACACTAAACACAGTCTAATATGTACCATTAACTGACTGATAATGCTATTACTCATTATTTTATTAACAAACAGGGATGTAACAAACCTCCAAATCTATAGTTTTGGTTCATGCTTCAGTTTTCCTTTAGAGCAGATAAACAACAAAAAGCTGGAATAACCACCAACCTCAGAACTCCACCACGAAGCAGGATTTGGTGCTTAAGTGACTTCAGGCTTAACCCTGGGTTTCCAGTTTTACATCGCCATGGTAACTAATACACGTACGCACACGTAACCTGCGCCATAGTAGATCACGTCCAAGACAAAAGGTCAGCATAAGACCTAGCGACCAAGCAATTGTCTGGAAAAGCCCTTGCACCTCAGTGTGCAGATACTAAGAGGATCTACAGTTTTTATTCAGAACACACAGATCCTTACAGACACTTTTAGTCCTCGCTCGTTTGCTTGCTTCCAGTTACCTTTCTTATAAGCCTGAAGCCTAATATTAACTTTACATGCAATTTGCATTTTCCCCTAATATAACTTGGTCTTCTGTTTTTTTAAATACATTGGAATATAGTATTACTCTCATTCTCTGGGTTGGCCATGTGAAGCCAAATTTGTTTTTTCCTTGTGAATACAGTCAGTTTGACTGGAAAACCCAGAGCTGACTTGTCAAGTTGATAACAACCCTGGTGGATTGCCTGTGTTAGGGTACGATACAATTTTGCAGGCATTTGCATTACGTGAGGAAAATAAAGTCTTCTGCTACAGTAAGCCCAACTATTAGAAAAACCTAATGAAGTGTAGTCTGCATTACATTTCTTATATTTATTAGTACCAGGATCGGTGGATATAACTATTTCAATCTGGGCATGCCACCAAGGACCTTCATCAGAAAATATTTTGAACACATTAGGTCATGCTGTCCTTACTAACCACAAAGAGCTGCTGGTGGACTGGCCAAGGTGAGACTTCACTGACGTCACTCTCAACCACTGATAATAAAGTACACTCATTGCAACCCACTGATGGGGTCTGGATAGAATCACTACTATGCTAAGAATAGCATTTGCTCTGTTTTGGTTTTACCATTTTAACCACACAACTATTATAACATTTTAATTAGGAGGAAGTCGGGGTACTAAGGTTCTAAGCATTTTTTCACCCCCCATGTGTTTATAGGCCACTAGTGCATGTCATTAACTATTGTGCATGGTCTTTCTTTGCTTTCCTTTTTTTTTTGCCTTCTTTTACCCTTTACCCCTAGATTGGTGATAGTAGATGACTCTGAGCTCCTGTTAAAAGGGAGGTTTTTCCCTCCCACCATCAACAAGTGCTTGGTTAATAGGGGATCATTTAAAAGATAGTCTCACTACCTTACTATATAACATTGAAACAACTGTGGTTCTTAGTTGGTACTACATAAATAAAACTGAAATAAATTGAGAAAAGAAGATTGTCGGTACTGGAAAATACTTTATTTGTTTCTGTTGATGGATTTCCAACCTGTCCAACCGGTGTACCCCGCCTCTCACCCTATGATAGCTGGTATAGGCTCTAACCCTCTAAACAGGATAAGTTAAAACAGGGATGCATGGCTGGTTGTTTTGTGGGGGAGTGCAGGAACAGATCATGCAGGAGCTTTGACAAATGACACCCACTCAGTGTAACTTCACAAGACAATTTCCTGCTTTATTCTCACATGGTCTCTCAGTTCTCCTAGGTCAGATATGACAGATTCAGACACGAATCCACCGAGTCTTGACTACATAATTTCACAGCTCATAGGTACAACCTTTAGGAAAGTAGAACCATTTATGTTTTTAGACAGCCGAGGTAGGTCAAATGCATTCACACAAATCTAGTAGTAACAGCTTAGTTGTTAGGCGAAAAGAGCACACCAGCACCTGCAGATACTCAAGATATCAGTAAAGAAATAGTGACGAGATATTCCTAGTAACAACAGCAGTACCTGATATAAACAAGCAATCTGAAACCTCAGACAACATGGTGAGCAATGATGATGTGGTTTGCATGACACTGGGAATCTGTACAAAAACATGTTGACATGGAGAAACATGCAAGAAACACAGATGGAATACACCCAGTAAGCCAAACAGCAGCTTTTGTTAGTGAAGCCTGCATGCTGATAGGACGGACAGAGAGACAGAGGACATGCAACAGGCAGGAAAGTAAAGGAACTCCTCACTTACCATATCTGTAGTCTAATCTTCTTCCCTCTCAGCTCAACCGTCTTGATTTTGAAGTCAACTCCTATGAGGGAACCAAAACATGTGAACAAAGGCACAAGTTCAAGACTTTGCCCATAAGTTCTAGTGTTAGTAGATTTAATAGATGTGGAGCACTCACTGAGCCATCCACAAAACAATACAAGCCACATTGCATCACCCAGCTCGTCTGAGGCAACTTTTTCAGACAGGCTGGGAGACTGTAAAACTATTCCCTCTGTGGTACCTAATCAAAGAAGCATGTTATTAGTGACACATCTCACACAACTTATGAGCTGTGTCAGGGAGTGACAGGACACAAAATGGAGCTCTGCTTTAGCAGCTGCTTCTTTTAGACTATTTTGGGACTGGACACTATGGCTGGCTGCCGGACTGGTCATAGGACTGTTTACCCAGCTGTATGTATAAACAGATCTCATGTGTATTTTTAATCTGCAAACATGACTGGCAATTTGTCACAAGGCAATCTCGTGTTTAGTAAGTAAACATACCAGGGGTCAAATAATCAAATAATTAAAGAATGTGTTTTTATGTAGAAATATGCAACATGTTAGTTCTCTGTGTAGAGATATATCAGTAAAATCAAGGTAGTATTGGATAAGACTACTTCCTGGTTAACATAACCAAAACAGGGTTACTAGAAGTAAACAGTAATTCAGACCCATGATACCTATAATATAATATTCTGCAAATATTATCAGAACAGTAATAAAGTACAATTATTCATTTGTATTTAATTAATAAAAACGCTGTCCTTTAGCAGAAGTCTAAAATCTCTACATGCAAACGTTAAAAAAGCTTAAGGAAGCCTAGTTCATGTGATTGAAGTCAAAGGAAATGCTATTGTTACTTCAGTCACCATAGTCAACTGGCTAAGATAATGTTATCAACATACCTAGCGAGCTACAGCTAGCATTGGAAATAAAGTTTAGTCGCTATGCAAGTGAACTTGGAGGATTTATGGTCACTGAGCGCACCCCACAGTAGTTTACGCATTTCTCCTCGAGTATTTAGCCAGAGCCCTTCTACATGTTGTAGCTGATTAAATGAAAAGTAGTCGAAAAAACTAAATCTTTTAATGCCTTCTGTCCTCACCTACGGTTGACTTGCAAGCTTCGCAGAAAGTGTCGTCGGTAAATCTTTCCATGAGACTTGTTTTACCAACACCACGAGAGCCAATAATGATAATCTGAAGTTTGAAATCAGCGGGTCTGGGAGGCATCTTCCTGCGGCGTGACTGAGCCCCCAGAGCGGGGGACGAGTTCGCGGAGCCCCCGCCGCCACCGCCGGCGGCCCTCCGTGGAATATCATACCTCGGATCCATCAGTAATCCCACATTTGTGACTATAAGACGAACAGACAAATAACCCTAACCGGTTACAGAAACAACACAAGCCGATATCTCCAACTTTCTTTTGTCTCTGATGAAGTTTGCGAAAGTTTGTCAGTCGCCGACAGTTGTTGTTGTTCAGCCATTAGAGACCGGGGCCATCGTGATGTCATTTCCGCTTCCGGTGGCTATGATTTCTATTTTTATAAATTTTATAAAATTATAAACAGAGACCGCTTAATCACTTGTAATCAGACTGTATTACTTTTACATGTTATTTTGATTTATTAAACGTTTTCATTAAAAAGGCACCAAATATTAGGCCTGCATGTAGAGAGACATCCTCTTATAATTGATAATGTCAATTATAAGAGGATGTCAGTTATATCAATTATAAGATTTCAGTGCATAATCTGGTCCTTATTAGGTCTTACAATTGGGTAAATACAGCCTCAGAAGAATTACAAAACATGACATATTATACCATGTAATTATTTATTTAACAAAAATTAAGTCAAAATGTAGAGGTTACATGGTAAAAATAAGTACACCCTCCCTTCTCCCAAAAGAATTAAGAGGGTAAGTAGAGGTCAGATCCTGATAATTGAATGCCCTTGATTATTTAATCACCAGCAACTTTGAGGATTTCTATAAAAGCAGACGTTTTGGCAGTTTGCTAGTCTGGAGCATTCGGGTGTGTGTTAACACAATGCCAAGAAGGAAATACATCAACACTGATCTTACAGAAACAAGTGGAAAACATTGATATCAGCTGTCAGTTTGTATCCAGAGTGGATGTCTAAGCAAATTAAGCAAATTAAGCACAGGCTCAGGGACTCTCAGGGAAAAAATCAAGAACTACAAATTCCACAGACCTCAGTAAGCATGTTAAATGTTAAAAGTTCATGACAGTACAATTAGAAACAGAGTGAACCAGTATGGCTTGTTTGGAAAGTTTGCCAGGAAAAAGCATATTTTCTCTAAAAGGAAGACAGCACGGCATTGGTTTGTAAAACTGCCTCAGAATAAACCACCAGACTTCTTGTGGCATGTCTGGCAGAACCAAACACAGCATATCAGCACAAACACCTCACACCAAATGTTAGCACGGCTGCAGATTGGGCTTGTTTCATAACCACAGGATCTGGACTCCTTGCAGTCATTGAGTTTATCATGAACTCTGTATACCAAAGTTTTCTGAAGTCAATTGTGAAGCCATCTGTCTGACTGAAATTGGTCATACAACTGGAGAGTGAGCCCAACATATAACACAATGGCTGACAAAAGAAAATAATAAAGGTGTTGCAATGTCACAGTCAAAGTCTGGAATTCAATCTGATCACAGTTTTCCAATGAGACCTTAAGAGAGCTGTGAATAAAATGATGCCCCGCAAACCTTTATTATTGCTTCAAACTATCCCTATAAAAGGTGCTACTGAATCATGGGGTGCATTCAGTTTTTCACACACAGTTTCTACATTTACTTAAATAATGGCACAATGTAATACATCATGTTTTGTTGTTCAATTCAAGCTGTATTAATTTAAATTTAAGACCTACGAATGACTAATTCCTTTTTTGCAATATCCTGAGATGTAAAACCTTAGAAAAGGGGGCGGATATACTTTCTTTTCACCATGAAAAAAATACGTTTTCTTTTTGTATCACAACTGAGATTCTTGATCCCTTTTAAAGCCCCTTTAGGTAAATTTGTGATATGTACAAGTTTTATTTGACCTGAGGTTGCAGTCCAACAAACAGGACTGTGAATATCCAATGTAAGTGTGGAGAATCAATGCAAGATGTTCTGTTTTCTCAGAGTGATATAAAACTCTCAGGAATTCTGTTCAAGTATATTTCATTTAATGTTTGGCAAGGAAAAAAAATGTAAAGACCACAAGGGAAAGTGCAGTTTGACAAAGAGAACAAAAGAGCACTGTCCTATAAAGTTTGACGTAGTTCTCATAAGCATGGCAGACTGACTATCTGGTGCTTTGCCAATGGTATTAACATGTATGGGTTCCATACATTCACTCCGCACACATCTGGAAAATGTTAAAGAGGCCCACTATGTCAAGTTGCTATAGCCTCCTGCGCCTTCACTTGTCCTCAGCTACGAAAAAATAACAAAAAAAAAGTACAGAACCAGTATATGATTGGAAATTTCTGAATGAAAACAAGAGACTTAAATAAATACACTGCGAACTAAAGATAATCAATGGGCCAATCCCCTGACTTAACAGTGCCTATTCGCTCCCTGATGGAAAGTTAAAGAATTATCTGTTGATGGTTCTTTTGTTATGCCTGCAACCTTACCAAACACTGGTAGTGTCATGGTGTTCTGTTAGACCTGTTAGTCATGGAGGGTTAAGTTAAGGCCCTTTTAATCCTGCATTAATTTAGCACTCTATTTTTCTTTATATTTACAAAACATATTATCAGCAAACATTAGACTGAAGCTTTGTGAAACTCCTGGAATTTGAAACCACACTGTAGGCTCCCACGTCACCAGACTTTCTTGTAATTGCTTCCAAATTCATAATCCAGACTTTGAGCAAAGGCTATTGTTGTTTTAAACTGAGCTTATACTTATAAATGACTTGGTTTTAAAGCGAGG